CTGCAGATAAAGGTGGAGAAAATGGCCCAAAAAATTCAGACTTAGCTGATGAAGAATTAAAGTCAAAGAAAAAGAAGAAAGAAAAGGGAAGAAAGAGGAAATCAGCGACGGAAGAAGCTAGTGAATCAAAAAGCGACGAAAATGGTTCGCTTTTCGTTGAAGACGAATGCTCGGTAAAAAAAAGAAGAAAAATGCGGAGAGGAAAGATGCGAAATCTGGCGAATTAGAAAACGAATGTAAAGTACAAGTCTTGCAGGAAACTAAGAGAGGAAAAGAAAAGAAAAGAAAAGAAGAAGAAAAGAGGTTATTGATTTAGAAACTTACGATATTGACGGAGTACAGAGTGAGAAGATGGAGAGTTTACAAACAGAGGAGGTGGAGAAAGATGACAAGAAAAAAGATAAGAACAAGAAAAAAAAGAACAAATTGGATTTGGAAATCTCTTGTGACAACGACAAGAAAGTTCGACTGAAAAGGGCGAGGAATTCTGCCGAGGATAAATCTTGTAAAGAATCGCTTACTGAAGCAAGAGGAAGTAAAGGACAAGGGAAAGAAAAGAAAGAGAAAGGACAAAGACGTTCTTTCTGATAATTCGGATATTGTTGAAATTGAGATAACAGAGAAGGAGAAAAAGAAAAAGAAGAAAAAGAACAAATCTAAAGAAATCGTCTAGAAAAATTGCAGATAGTGGGCTGAAAATTATTTTAATTTTTATGTCAATTATAAAAATACTTGCGTCTTTTTTGTCATATTTATGATTTTTGGGTCAAGTGACTCCACATTGCGAAAATACCGCGAGCTCCCCATGCAGCGGCGCCTATCCAGCTCCTCCATTTGCATATCCTCTTCAAGTTTCGGTGATCGCGCGCTAGCTCGTATTCCGGATAATAACTCCCTCCCCCCTCTCCCGATAACAATGCTCCCAAATATAAAACGCAAAAGTTATTCTGATAATACCCCCCCCCCCCCCCCCCACCCCACGCATACACCCAATATAAACCCATCGGCTGAACTCTTAAATAAAGTTACAACTTCTTATAAGCCCATTGTGTAGGGCTTATTTTGAATTTTACGGTACATCACGGATATAATTACCCCGGTGCCAGAGGTTTTTTTTTCCTTTGCGTCAACGCTCCTCGCTAAAGGCCGTGGCAATGCGGGGAAACATTTGCGTCCGCAACAATGTTTCCTCGTTTGCCACGGCCTTAAGGGAAAAAACCCTCTGGCGCCCAGGGTATTAAAATTGGAGACTATCAGACGAACTTAAAAATTTAGGCTAAAATTTTTCCGGGACTTTTTCAATATGTGGTTTGTGTGATCAGTGACAAACAAAGAACCAAAGAACCATGAGAAACAAAGAACCTTTTGATCTTCTCAGCCTCTGGCACGTGCATACACAGTGTAAACGTTTGAGACGCAAAGGACCACGTGACGCAGGAAAAACTATGTTTTTTGCCGGATTTCCCGTTGTGGAGATACACATACGTACTATGGACGTCACTCGAGGTGTGAATGGCCAATATTTAAAATTATTATACATTCAACTCGCTATCTCTTTTCTGATTGGCCGAAAGCGTACAGTGCATTTTCAAAATCAACCTGCAGATTATACAATAAAGCTCGCGAGAGAATGACGGGTAATCATGTCATCTATGACCGCGGTGCATGATTTCCAAGGGTATTGTTTTTGGGAATTCGTTCATGATAAAACTTACAAACTTGGGGACGAAAATTAGCTAGTCTGACGTAAACTTGCTTCTTATTATATTTGTTGTTTATTTGTTTTTTGTTTTTCCAGGTGGCGTGACAATCATACGGAATTCGGAAGTGGTCAATCTCTAAACACATCCTTCAGTACCCCGGACAGCAGTCTATGAGTAGACACGAAAACGAGTCCGCCACAATACAGCACCAGCCAAGATGGCGGTCGCTGAAGACATTCTAAAGGATCCTTACTTTGCCGACCTAGATATCGACCTAAGTCAGTTCTCGGAAGAAGAAAAGACTGTTATTCTTGGTGTTATGCAAAAAGCCAAGTGAGCATTTGAAAAACTTGGAGATCCTGCTTTGTATTTCATGATTTTCGATTGTAAACATCGCGTTTCGTTCGATTTCTTCATATTTCTTCTTGTATGCTTTGTGAATTTGTTTCTCTGGTAAAAGAACTCGTTTCCCGTTTCGTATCCCCTGTGCTTTTTCGTTTCTTAATTTTAGGTTCTTGACCAACAGGATGAAGATAAATTTAGGTAAGATATTTCCTAATCAGCAATTCAAGCTTATTATACGCATCTAATTTTAGAAAATAGCATAGATAAAACGCACGCTCTGATTGGCCAAAATCTTATTTCTATGATTTTTCTATGATTTTCTAAGTTTTCTATGATTTATTTTCTAAAAGATATAGTAAAATTTAAAAAAATATAATTTTTTTTGTCAGTGTTTGATAGAGTTATAGAGTTTTGGGGACACAGCGGCAAAATGAGTGCGCATGCGCCAACCTGCTCGCTCATTTCCCATACAAACATAATGGCGGCAATTCAAATTCCCGGTATTTTGTTTTCATTTCGCGTGGATAAGGCCGTCACGGAACAGATAAGGTTTTTACCTTAAAAACAATTCCGAGAGAGGACTCTTCTTTCACATATCTTTTTTAGCAAACTAATTATCTTTTCCACAATAGTGAATTTATCGCTCGAAGTCGAGCGATCGTAAGTGAAACACGAAAACATAGCTCAAAGAGTTTCATGTCTCACTTACGATCGCTCGACTTCGAGCGATAAATTCACTATTGTGGAAAGATAATTAGTTTGCTAAAAAAGATATGTGAAAGAAGAGTCTCTCTCGGAATTGTTTTTCAAGGTAAAAACCTTATCTGTTCCGTGACGGCCTTATCCCGCGAAATGAAAACAAATTCCGGGAATTTTGAATTGCCGCCATTATGTTTTGTATGGAAATGAGTGAGGCAGGTTGGCGCACGCGCACTCATTTTGCCGCTGTGTCGAGTTTGGGGAACTTGAAACAGCTGGTTTCCAGGATTCTTGTTCTCGCAAGCTTTATAATATGGACAGTTGTTGATGGACAAAGGCCCGAACCAACTATCAAAGTCGATAGAAATAAAGAGTGAGTGGATATAACCCAGTGGCTGATCGAATAGAATAAATAGAATATGAATAAAACTGATGTATTGACGGTTTTATTTAATACTTTCTGGCAATGATGCACAGAACCTGTGTTCTCCAAGGGCCTTCTATCAATCAATTGATCGATTCGGTCGACTTCAAGGCTCCTGTGTAGCCAATCAGATTGCGAGTTGGCCACTGAGTTATATTACAGTGGAATCCCAATTTTTGAACCTCCAAGGAAACGGAAATTGGTTCGAGAAATCTGGAGTTCGAAATATCGGGGGTAAAATTACAGTGAAACAATCCAAGGGAAATGATGTTTGGTTTGAGTTATCGTTCCCAGAGTCCTCATTACCGCTTGTCCAGCAGTGGACCTAGGCAGCAAGGACCTCTGGGATAGAGTGATCCGCCTGACATGCGCAGTAAGACCAAGTCCAAGAATCTTGGCATCCGTTTGTTGTAACATGGAATCGAACACATGCGCAGTAGAACCGAAGTCCAAGAATCCTGTCATGGTGGAACGCTTTATCCCGGAGGTCCTTGTTGCCCATTCCACCGCTGGACAAGGGTAACGAGGACCTCTGGCAATGAGATTGAGAAATCAAGGTTTGAGAATAATTTGGGATTCCACTGTATCACCACACAGGGCTCGAAAAAAATTGGAATTCCAGCTTGCCCTTTGGACAAGCAACTCTCAAATTTTGCTTGCCCAGGGCACCTCCCCACTTGCCGCAGGTTCTCAAACTCATTAATTATTCATGAAACAAAGAAAACGAAAATACACTGGGTTAGGCCTTCAGTTTGGCTCTCTGTTCTACCTACGTGTACTGTAATGTGTTTTTTGGTTTAATTTACTTCCAAAGTTACAAACTGGTTTGCAGGGTTGCCCCTAAGAAAAATGTCTGTGCTTGTGCCTCTCACCAGAGACACAATCCATCGGCATACATGACGTATTCAATGGTTTACACGGCTTGCAATGCATTATGGGGCGATTTTAAAACATGGCCGCTTGTGGAGGCCGAAAGAATCTTTGTTGACGTGTTTTTGGCCTATATTTCCTCTTAATGAAAGCGAAACAAGACCAGATAAATTGTTTTTTAACTTTAATTTATTCTGTAACTGATTTTTATGGCAAAGTTAGAACTGAAAAGCAGGTTTCCCAGCGAACGGTAAGTTTATCGCGCAACACAGTTGTTTGTAGGCGTCTCCTATTTCAGCCTATTTCCTTGTAATTTTCGTCAAGTTTCATCTAAAACCCTTGATTACCCCGACCAAATGTGCTTAAAATTTACTGTTTGTTTCACAAAATCGTCATTTTAACAATGTAGTTTGGCAGAAGGCTTGCCTGGGCCCTTGCCCGTCGGGCAAGTGAGCAGAGAAAGTTACTTGCCCGACAGGAAAAATCTACTTGCCCGGACGACCGGACGGGGGTTTTGTCGAGCCCTGCCACAGAGATCAATTTTTGGCAAAATATGTATCAAAAGCAATGGCGAGTAAGAAAACTAATAGTAAACCACCAAAAGGAGTGCTTGGGGATAACTATTTTTGAGGAAACAACTGGCATGAGCGTGAGCTGTACAAAAATGATTGCTGTATGTGATAACATTCATGAACTAAACTTCACCTGGCAAAGAATGACGTTGTTTTCTTGTCTATTCCCAGAATTACTCATTACTGATCATGTTTACAACTATTGAAACATGGGAATGTTTTCTATTTTGGTAGAAATATGAGAAAGAATGTTTTTATCAGTCAGTGACACAGGCTACTCTAAAAAAAATTGTAAGTTCTCCCAACAGGAGTCAAACCTATAACCTTCCACCACACTGGTCCGACTCTCTACCACTGAGCTACATGAGACACAAGAGCTCCCACAAGTCTCCTGTGAGTCCTGTAGCTCAGTGGTAGAGCGTACAACTGGTGCGCATAAGATCTCATCATTGGTTCGACTCCTGTTGGGAGAACTCAGAATTCTTTTTTTAGAGTAGCTTGTGTACCACTGACTGATTAACATTTTTCTCAAATTTTATTAAAGCCTGGTGTATTCATAGCTGTTTCCTGAAAGGAAGTGTTTAATGTTTTTATCACAGGAAGCCAACGGAGGGACAGCTTAGTAAATGGACCAATCTAATGAAGGGCTGGCAGTTTAGATGGTTTTACTCTAGATCCTGATTCCGGATTGTTGGAGTATTATGTGGTAAGAAGTAGTGGCAATAAGGCTATGTAAGATGAAGAATGATCAACAATTATTTTTCTCTTTGCATTGTCAGTACATTATCATGAAGAAAGAGGTGCAGAGAGTAAAGAAAGTCATCAACCATACATGTTGCAATATACCCTGATTGTTCTGACAGCTGTATATTGGTTAAGGCATCTTCAGTTTTTCTCAAATTACTTTGCCCTTAAGGTGGCCCGCGGTTATTTATTGGAGCGGAGGCTCCCTTTTTAAAAACGAATTTTCTGCATGAAAGCGTTAACCGATTTCTGTCATTTTTTGGTAACCTAAACAAGGATCTTCAAATTATAGAAGGCTTTTAATTTTAGGGCAATCGGAATAAACGATTAAGAGATACAAGCGTTATTAAAAGACCTTGTTTTTTTAAGAAAACGCGAATATTTTCATTAAAACGAAGATAGATTTTTTTCTAATTACGTTCAATAAGTTTCCAAGACTTCAAGGTTTTACTGTGAGCAAGTTTCCACAAACACGGCTGCACAGAAATTGCTACACAGTTCACTGCTTAATTTTCACTTCAAAATGATATGCTTGTGTATTTCTTCAGGCTGTTGCAAGAACGCTAAAATAATTATTATATCGCACCTTATCATTGGAAAGCTTAATGTTATCTAAAACTTTGCTGAATAATCGGAAAAGATCGGAAACTCCAAGGAAAAGCTATAAGCGAATGAAGAACAAGATGTTTATGTGCGTAATTTGTGAATTTAAAGATATTCAAGTTTGTTCGACTTTTGAAAAAACTACCGATTTGTTTTCGCTTATTTCTAAGTATGATAAAATACAGCATATATACAAACGGCCTAACCTTGTTTCAGGCGTGTAGCGTCGATGAAGCTCGGAGAATTTGGCTCATCAATTTAGCTGCTTCATGTCTTCCATTTTACAAATGCTAGGAAAACCCCTCGTGTTCCGTAAATTATTCAAACTTGCCGCGTTCTGGAATTTATTTGTCACTTGGGAATTACGGATCATCGAAAATTTCCTTGGAATGTCATTGATCGTTCATTATCATTTAAATTTTCGATGATCCGTAAAATTCCCAAGTGCAAAATGAATCCCACAACGCAGCAAATTTGAATAATTTACGGACGACGAGGGGTTTTCAAAGCATTGGTAAATGGAGGACATGAAGTAGCTAACTTGACGACTTAATTCGCCGAGCTTCATCGAGGCTACACGCCCAAAACTAGGCGAGGTCGTTTTTATATATGCTGGATTTTATCATACTTAACAATTACGGAAAACAAATCGGTAGTTTTTTCACAAGTCGAACAAACGTGAATATTTTGAAATTCACAAATTACGCGCTATAAACATCTTGTTCTTCATTTGCTTATAACTTTTACTGGGAATTTCCGATCTTTTCCGATTATTCAGCAAAGGTTTAGGTGGTATCAAGCTTTCTAACAATAGGTGCGATCTTAGCAGTATTGAAGCATTCTTGCAACAGATGAAGCAAATACACGAGCATATTATTTTGAAGCTAAACTTCAGCAGTGAACTGTGCAAGGCAATTTCTATGCAGCCGATTTTGTGGAAACTTGCTCACAGTAAACATTGAAGTCTTGGAACTTATTGAACGTAATTAGAAAAAAATCTATCGTCGTTTTATGAAAATATTCGCGATTTCGTAAAAAACAAGGTTTTCTAATAGCGCTTGTATCTCTAAATCTTAAATTTCGTTTGCCCTAAAATTAAAAGCCTTCAAAAATTTAAAGATTCCTTATTTTGAATACCAAAAATTAGAGAAATCGGTTGACGCTTTCCTGCCGAAAAGTAGTTTTAAAAAAGAAAACCTCCGCTCCAATAAATAACCGCGGGCCACCTTAATGAGCCAACATTTTTTGAGGTGATTTATTTTAATCACTGATTCTTATTTTGAAGCAGTGCAATCAGATACGTTTTTCCATTTTCCTCTTGAGAGAAGCAATCTGGGGTGAGTCACATATCGCAGTCGCTTTTGGGATCGTCACTGGAGACAAAATGGTGGCCAGCTTGACAACTCATCCATCCCCAGTAACGGTTCTCCCACAAGTGACTGCAAGATGAGACTCGCCCGAGATTGCTTCTTGTTTTGAGGATTCAGGTTCTTCCCGGGAAGAAAGAACAGACAAAATATCTTAATTTTCCTTCCAACAAAAGCCCCTAGCTATATAGCCTAACCGCTTCTCTCTCGGACCTGGAAGTCTTTTGGATGATCATTTTCTTAATATTATTCTCATGACCTTTATGCTTGATCAGATGTACACCTAATTGCAATAACGTTGTCATAGAAAAAAGAAAAATGAAAAAAGAAAATAGGAATTAATTAGGCATACAAACTACATTCTCGGATTTTATGTCGAAGAAACGGCCTCAAAACGCCTCAAAATACAGGTAAATCTTCAATTTATCTTAATTACACGATTAATATACAGCTATAAACGTGTGAGTTCTCAGCTGAGAATGCTGCTCGCTATGATGATTAAGCTAATTAATTCCTATTTGGCTTTTTTCTTTTTTCTTTTTTGTATGACAATGTTATTGCAATTAGGTGTATTTACTGATAATCACAGATAATATATAAATGTAAGGAGAAATTCAAAGATGCTGATCACTCTGACTTGTGTGCTGGAAAGGATTGAGGAAGTATTCACTCAATATTATATTTGTAAAATTAAACAGGTTTTTATAATTATTTTCTTGTGATCGATCTCTTGAAATCCAGGATAAAGAGAAGAAGAAGCTTGGGCCCAGAGGAACGGTTTATCTTGGGGTAAGTGTTGTGAGATCCAGACCTGATCAAACTGATGACACTTATTTGTTTTCAAGTATATAGAGCGGTTTTCATTTGAGTGTCGTAAAACCAAAACCAAAACCAACACCATAGTTGGTTTTGGTTTAGCATCTGATTGGTTGAGTAGGTGGCGCGTGTTTTTTAAACCAATCACAGAACGTACTAAAGCAAAACCAATTTTGGTTTACTTTCGATACTCAATTGAAAATCGCTCTATAATGTCTTTGCCTTTGTTTCAAACCGAGGCTCAGTGTGAACTGTCTGGAAATGAATATGTTGTCCCAAAGGTGGTCACTTGCTTTCACTCACTGTTATTTTGTTTGTTTGTTTGTTAATAGGGAAGTATGATAGCTCCCAGTGACGAGGATTCATTCACATTCACTGTCAGTGCAGCAAATGGTGATATTTTTAAACTTCGAGGTAAATATATTTGATATATAGCATATTTGATATTATTTTGTTTTAATTTTATATATTAAAATAAGTTGTTTATTTCTGATACCAGATAAATTAGTATTGTACAGTGCTGTAGGAGTAAATCTGTGGTAATATATTGACTGGGATATTTTCACTGTTATGACTGTAGGACAAGACATATCAGAATAATTAATAGTAGGAGGTATTAATAATAATAATATTAATACCTCCTTATAATAATTTATTAATAAATAATTAATAAACCGGTAATAATTAATTTAATTGCTTTTAATCTCAGCCAATGATGCGAAAGAAAGACAGGACTGGATAAACAAACTTAGAAGTGTGGCTGAGTTTCATACATCAAGCATTGCCCAGGTACTCCTACGCTGTATAATTATTGTAATACGTTATTATTAGTTATTATTTTTATCATAATTTTTAGTAGCCATACTCGTTTATTCTATAATGTAATATATTTTAGACTATTTTAAATTTTGTAAATTATATTTTAGACCATTTGAATTTAGATACCTAGGATCGAGGGCCACTAGTTTATCAGTGTTTAACTGTTATGTGTTTACCCCTCGTAAAATAAAGTTGCTTACTTACTTTTTTTACTTACTTAGTTATCATAACACTGTTATAGAAGCTGATATATGTACACAGGGTCAGTTGACATGAGTCAATCTGGTAAAAGCTCCATCATTGAACATATCAGCTGTTCAAGTAAGGGTGCACACAATTTTTCTCTCAGAGGGAAAAAGTAAAACAAAAAGAAACAGAATGTGTTAGGGTTAGACTGATTGCAGTTGATAGTATCCAATTACCATCCGGGGGGGGGGGGGGGGGGGGGGGGAATCACATATTTTGGACTGAAATAGGGTAAGGGTTTCAAGAAGCTTGCCACACCCCCACCCAAATTTTAGGGGAGTACCCCCCCAGGTTACCATCATTGTGGCAGTTTTGTAGATAGTGGACACATGTTGAAGTTGTTGCATGCTAAAATTCCAGAGGTGGACACAATACAATTCAGACATTCAGATTGCAACATTGCGTGCAATGTTGCACTGTCTGTCTGTGCCTTAAGACTAAAGTGTTAACATCTCTTGTTAGGCTGCTCCTCCATTATACACCACACCCGGTTTTTCTGCTGCACCACCCACTCAATCAAGCAGTACTGTGAAGCACCCAGCAACAGCAGCCGCATCAACTGGCCCTTCTACTGGGGTGCCAGCAGACAATATCAAATCAGACCCCCCTAAACTGGTCCCTAAAACCCACCAATTACCCGAGAAAATCGTGGCAGGAATGGCGCAGATCAGAGATGATTTGTACAGGATAGAAGATGAACAGATGGATCTTATTGATCAGTTGGAGGTAAAATGTGAGATTTGTATTCTTTTAGTAAATGCAGGACAACTCTATTTTGGAGTCAGCAAGTCTTAACTCCCTTGACCACCCCAAGTCTTCTTTGTAGTAACTGATTGGTGTATACATGTAAGTTATTAACCAATCATGAGGGCCATACT